ACAGCAACAGAAAGGTAGCAGTCTTCAGGAGGGTAAACATAAATCTCCACCCTTTAAGTGTAGCTACACACAGTGATTTCCTTCCAAAAGAGTAAGTGTGGAGAGGTGAGACGGTGTGAGTAAACCACAAGAGAACATGATGAACACTGCCTGTGGAATTGTGATGTACAGCGGGGCCTCAGTTCACAAACTTAATTCTTTCCATGATTCTAGTCACAGATTCGTTCCATGATTCTGGTTGCAACTTAAGAATTTAAGAATTAAGTTCGTGAACCAATGTACTACTGTATAGTAAGAGATGTATTCCTACATGCACTAAATTACACATTTAAAAATTACAAAGATGGAAAATTTTGTTATCTTTAACAACAATTTTTAAAAACTAAAGAAATATGGATAAACTATGGAATTTAGTTTAACATTGGATCATTAACTACAACAAAGGTATCTAATGTATTAATGGAAGATGTCGAGAATAGGAGGAACTGAGTATAAAGTACTATATATGGGAACTTTTTATACTATTGTCTCAATTTTTCTGGAGATCTAAGGCTGCTCTAAAAAAAATAATTTATTAGAAAAATTTAAGGTAAAGGTTAATAGTCCTAACCCAACTCACCAAAAATAAAATAAAAGGATCTAATAACTCAATAAATAAATGAGCAAACAATCAGAAAAACAAAGGACATGAATAGGCAATTCACAAAAGAAGAAATTAAAACGCTAAATAAACTTGTAAAGGTATTCAAGTTCACAGGGTTGAATAAAGATAAATGAGATCATGTACTATGTCTGGTATGCAAAAAAATGTGTCTAGTATACAATAAATATTACAGTGCCTAGTATACATTAAACGAAACTGTTAAAATTAAAGAACAGCAGATTTAAATACACAAAAAATAAACACACATATATGTGTGGGTATGTGTGTTCTGCATACATAAAATCAAGTTTGAAAACACTGAGAAAACTTATGATGCCCGAAACGGGAAAAAATGTGAAGAAACAGACCCTATCATAATTCCATGGTAGGAATGTAAATAGACATATCTGTTTCAGGAAGCAACAAGCAATTAGCCAGTATCTTCTAAAGTTTAAAAATTACATATCTTTTGGTTCAGTAATTTCACTGCTCAAAATCTGTCCTACAGAAATAACAGTACAAAGATACCTGTATATGACTATTCAGTGCAATGACATGACAGAGAAAACCTGGAAATAATCCTAAAGTTCATCAATAGGGCATTAGTCTAAAAAATCATGGAAAATGTAGTAGATATAGTTATACTGATACAGAAAACTGTCTAAGAAAAAAATAAATCACAAAATTTTGGGGCCAGGGATTTAGCTCAGTGGTTCCACCACCTGGTCCCAAGCGCAAGGTCCCAAGTTCGATCCCCGGTACCAAAAACAAACAAACAAAAAAAACCACTTCCTAAATCACAAAATTTTTAAACTTTTTAAAAGGAAAAGATAAACCAGGTAATACTTAATCTGAGGTCTTCCATTTAAATTTCAAAAGAAGCAAAGCTGCATGCAAAACTGTGAGTTCACATATACATGCAAGTGCATTTTCTAAGAGTCCAGAGATTTTTAACTGAATTCTTAACAAAATATGTGACCTTCAAAAAGAGTCACTAAATAATCACTAAAAAGGCCCCTGAGCTCTGAGTATCTGAGAAATTTAGTTAGGTTATATCCAAATGAGAAAAGCCTTTGGAGAGAAGAGAAATTATCTCAATTAAGTTTTTAAAACCTATTAAATGCCACTACCACAAAACACAAATTTTTAACTCAAGGCTCTTAAGACTAAGGGTGAGAAAGGAGTTATTCCTCAGATCCACTTGCATTCATTCACCAGTTAATTATAAACTTCATCCAAAAGTTAAAGAGCAACTATCTTCAAAATGTGATTGTTCATACTGAAATTACAGTTAAAGTAGGTCACAAAGAAGCAAAGATAAAGATTAAATAGTAATCCCACTGGACACAGTCTAGGTGCTGATCTATAGTTAGTACTCATTGGTACTCATACATGTAAAGAAAAGTTCAGGAGTTATGCAGTTTTAACATTTTTTAAGATAAGTGAATTAAAATAAGACAATTAGGTCTTATAGTTTTGTGCCCTTTGAGCATAAATAAATCTTTTTCTGGAAGCAGATGGGTCAGCAAGAGCCATACTTTCAGAATTAATATATTAAACATTACAGGCACTTTTACAATCAATCAGACTTAATGAAGATTGGAATTAATAAGAAGAAAATAGCAGGGATACTCTTTATTCTAAAATAAAAATAAAACTTAGAACAGTAGTTCTCAATCAGGTAGTTCTGCCTCCGAAGGAAAGCATTTTTGATTATTAGGACTGGGAAGGTGCTGCTGGAATCTTCTGAGTAGAGTTCAGGGATGCAGCTAACAAACAACTTCTCTCCCCTGCTTAAAATGTCAACAGTGCTGAGGATGCAGAACTCTGTTTTTAGGTAAGCTGAGGGAAATCACTGAATCTCCACTATGAGATAATCAACTTTATCACAGAAACACTGAAAGTCACCAACTGGATTTGCTCATTTATTTAGAAATATTGACACCTTGCCAACTAGCATGAGATGTATTGAAATGCACAATTTTCAAAGTGTTGTTTAAAAGAAAAGTTAGTAACTGGCTCCTCAATTTATCCAAACCTTTGAAATTTTGCTATAGCTATATACAGAAAAAAGCAATAAACTAATGCTAAAAAAAAATTTATACATACACTCCCTATGACTCTCACAACAATACTGAAAGAAACTGGCCATGAAATAATACATTGTGCATAACTCTATTTATATAAAGTTCAAGAGCAGACAAAAACTGATCTTTTGTGTTAGAAATCAGAAAAGTAGTTCCTTTGGAAAGAAAAGAAATGTGGAGAAGGGAGAGAACACAGGAGGAGTTCTGGAATATGTTCATAATTTTGCATTTCTTAATCTGGGTAGTAGTTATGTAACTTCATTCTGTAACAATTCATCAAGCTGTATAATAAAAATCTGTGCTCTTTAACTGTATACAGATAATATGTTAACAAAAATATTTGCTTTTTAAATATTATATATTTTTATGCTGAAAGACTGAACATTTTGATCCAGAAAGCTCAATTCGTATCTATTACAAAAGTAAAAGTGTTTTTTGAATAGGTTGCCGTCCAAGAATTCAAGAAGGATGACACCCCAGAAAGCTGTAAATAGCATACTCAGCACTCACACAGCATTCAGCTTGCACACTATATATCCCTCGGCACCAATCCAGAAGTTTGACAAACACTAACACATGTAGCTGAATTTATTCCATGGACAGTTTGTTTGGATTATTTCCTTTAGTGTTAAATTGTGAACTGTTATCAGAGGACAGGCCCTATGAAATAAATGATGCTTTCTCTTTCCTAATCCCACATGTTCTCAAAGCTTCCCCAAATTACAATATTCTTGGCCCCTCAATTCCTTAGGATTTCTCCAGGCTGTTTCTAACAGAGCCCACCACTGCCTCTCCCAGTGCCTACCCTCACACTCCACCTTCCACACATACAGAAATTCACATTAATACTCAACCTGGAGACACATGTTTATACTTTCTCAGGACCTTATAACACAATACAAATCTCACTACCCTCAAACACCTGATATTCTCCTCAAACTCCCTGCCCAACACAGCCAGGACACACTTATCTTAGTCTTTTAAATCCTCTCCTACCACACAAACAATTCTGCCTCCCTGCTCAATGGCCACCACAGGGGCTATTATCTCCAACTTTTTGCTTCCCTTTAGTCCCTTCTCCTTTCCAAGACGGTAGTAACTTCCATTGCTCCTGCACTCTCTCCCCGCCACCTCTGCTTTCTTCCTCAAGACTCCTTCCTAAGCGCTCCCAGCAGGGATGGAAAGTTACAGAAAAAGTATGAAAGAACTTGCTCTGTCATGTGTGCAAGCATGGGCTACAGAGGCAGATGCTGGATTCTGAGACCCAACCACACCAACTATCAATTGTAAGACTTTGGATAAGCCTCAGATTCAACTACAAAATGGGGATTTTTTTTAAAAAGGTGTCTCAATGTTCTGAGGACTCAATGGACTAAAGGCCACTGAGCACTAAAGGCTCTAAAGGTGGATGGCTACTAACAGTTTCTCCTGGTCTTCTTGTAGGGAGGAATAAAAGAAAGGTAAAGGATAGTAAAGGATGTTTTAACTCTTTGATGCTTAGACTATTGTAAAGTCTCCCCTTTGGGGAGAAAAGGAGGACAGTGAATAGCAGAGAAGTACTCTACAGATAATGCGGGTGTCAGGAAGAATTTCGTCAGATTCCCCAAGCACAGTGTTCCCTCTCTCTTAACCCCTCCAATGTAGACCCAAAAAGCGTCCAAAACCCTAGAAAGAGTGAATTTATACAACAAATCTTCCTTCTAGATACTCACTAGAGAGAGAGAGAAAAATAGGAAATTGTCCCCCTCCTTACTGTGATGCGTTCCTTGGGATCTGAGAATAGGAAGGGACCCCCAAAGTCCCAAATACATTTCTCTGGGGACTGAGGGGAGCACTTCATACTAGGGACGATATGAGCAAGTCCTGGACCCTAACTCCTCCCGGTTCCCGCAGCGAGTCCCAACCGGTTTCTCCGGATAGGAGAAAGGGAAAGCGCCTTCCCCGCGCCTTCCCGGGAGGACCGAGGGAAAGGTCCGCGCGAAGGAATCCCCAGCTCCACGCTGGGCGAGGCGGCCCGGGGGAGTTTCGCAGGTTCTTCGTGGTCTCCACAAGGGCCGGGAACCAGACTCTGGGACCCGCTGGCCTCTCAGAGGTCTGACCATCGCGGGACCCCTCCTCTCACAGAACCTTCTGACAGCCCTCCTCAGACCTGCGAGCCCTGCTGGACACTTCTCCCGGGTTCCAGGCTTGCGTGGCGTCAGCTGGAGCCCACAGGACATCCAAGCGGGCCTCCCGGGTGCCCGCCGAGCCCCGCGAGCCGGCGGGCTTACCTGCTGAGACGGCAGCTCCACATGCAGGGCCCGCGCGGCAGAACCCGGCGGTAGGGCGGCCGCCGGGCCCGGGGGCGGAGCGGGGACCGGGCCCCCGATCGAAGCGGAGGCGCTCATCTCGACGCAGCGGCCGCCCAGCGGCGGGGAGGACGTCCCTCCAGCATCCGCCACCGCCTCCTAGCCACGACCCAAGGAGCCCCTGGAGCCTAGACACCGGCCACCTGAGAGGCAGGGTTGCTCCGTCCCCGCGCTGGCCGCCGCCGCTTGCTAAGAAAGAGCCATATTACCGCAGTGCAACCCCCTCCACCGGGCCGAGTCCTGGCTCGCTCATTGGTTCCACTCTCATGGGGGCGGAACCCAATGGCGGCCAAAAGACGTACTATTGGGTAGCAGGTATATCCATCGCCCACCGGAATGAGCTGGGGGCGGAGGGACTCGTAGATGGCCTCAATTGCGTCTGTCAAGCCAGGGTGAAACCTGGGGCGTTGCTTCTTTCTGTCCGAGGCTGATTGGTTGTTTTACTATGAAGAGGCGGGGTCTCCCGTCAGAGCTGCAAAGGCCATTCCTCTAGCTAGCTGTCAATTGTCAGTAAAGAGAAGAGGGTCGGGTCTTGATTAGGTAGCGCTCGCGCCTAGGAGCTAGTGTCACGTGCAGAAGGCTGAAGAGTCACCTGATTAGTGAGACTCAGTCTTCTGAGCCACTTCCGCCCTAACCTAGATGCCATGGTAACGGGCCTCGGGTGGAGGACGGGGACCCGCTAGCAGCAGCTGGGTCGGGATTGTTAGCTTGCCATTCCAAGCTCCTTGAAGTGTTTTCCCTAGGTGTTTAGTCAACTGAAAAGAAATGCTTTACGGTTCAGCAGAGCCACCATGCAGGATGTACTGAGACCAGAGACTGGTCATGCTTACACTACTAACTCCAACCACAAGTCCACGCCCTCCTCGAGCTCCACTAGTATGATGAGCCGCAAGGTGTGCCAGCTGCCCAGGAGCTGTTTTATCTCTGCCAGTGGGTTGCTTATATTGGGCTACTTTTCTCCGTCTGACTAATGCTAACTTACCCATCAAATTTCAGCTGGGGCAGAAGCTTCCTTCCAAAAGGCTTCGCGGTCCTCTCTGGGACCCTGTGTCAGGAACTTTGTAGCCCTGATGGTTCTATTACATTGTCTTTTAATAGATTTAAGTAACACACTCAAGCAGCTACCCTCCCTTTTGAACCCACCACACACACACACACTGAATTCTTCAATCAAAAGGACCTTGTCAAATTCATCTCTGGATCCCCAGTATCTGAGAGAAGAGAATCAGGGGTGTTTTTTTTTTATGTGAAGATGCAGCCCCTTCCTCCATGAAGACTACTTCCATCATGATAGTGTCTATAATAGTTGCTTCTGTAATAAATAGCACTGAGTCATTCTGCAGGATATTGATCTGCCTTCCCCCACCACACACACTCCCCAGAATGTGAATTTCTCCACCACCGGGACTGATGAAGCAAAAGGAACACAGTGTTTTAGAGTCTGACACAACAGGAATCAGGCACTTTTGGAATCTTGGCTCCCACCTCCTATGTCCCTAAGCAAGCCACCACCATCCCCAGATTTAGTTTTCTTATTCATAAGACAGTAATAGGGATACTATTGGGATTAAGTAAGTCAATATATGTAAAGTGCTAGTGCAAGACCTGGCATATAATAAATGGATTAAAATTTGGTTTTAGTGGGCTGTGGGTATAGCTATTGAGTGATGAGTTTGTGCTTAGCATGTGCAAAGCCCTAGCTAGCTTCAATCCTTACCACTATTTTTTTTAAAGTTTTTCATAGAAGGTAAGCATGCTGGCTTTCTGAAAAACACCTTGGATATGCTCTCAGGGCTGGATCACATGGATATCACACTGTTTCCTGTTCTGAAAGATTGAGCAGTTCCTCGTGATGAAAGCCTAGGGTGTGTGGTCATGTGTTTGTTAAAAGAAAAGTAGTTGAGAAATCCCAAATTTCATCTAGTTCAACTCATTCAGCGCCAAGATCTGTGGAATTTCACAGAAAACACATTTCTGTTTCTAAGCCACATTTGTTTCTGGAGGCTGCCATATCAAATTTCCATGAACTAGGTGGCTTAAAACAACAGAAATTTATTCTCTTACAGTTCTGAAGACCGGAAGTGCAAAAGCACAGTAACAAGGTACTCTTTCCTTGCTCTTCCACCTGCTGAAACTCAGCCTACTGCTTACAGAGTGTTCATGAAAATGTATATGAATTGTTCAGCATAATGTTTTAAAGTGTTCGATAAATGCCACATATAATTATTTTCATATGTCTTATTCTAAAAATTCTTCTATTATTCGAATTTGGATCCGATTCCATAATATGGCTGTTTGTTTGAACACAAAGCTATTTTCAATTACTTAAAAATATCATAATATTTATACAGTGTTATTACATGGAGCCAAACTTAGAGAACTTCAATTATAACCTTGCCAAATACTGCAACATCCATGCAGAGACAGAAGGAGATTCAAGGTCAAGTGGTAACAGAGTTACTGACTCTTCAGGGACTGATAAGCAAGATCAGAACAGGCCTAAAGGATAATTCTTAAAGGATCATTAAGAGTTTGATAGATAAACAAGAGGTGTTTATATCTGCTTGGATCAGAGATAGTTTGAGTGTCTGCTGTAGTTTGAATGTGTGCTCCAAACATTCATGTGCTCAAAATTTTTTTTTCCAGTACCAGGAATCAAACTCAGGACCTTGCGCTTGCTAGGCAGGCGTGGCACCACTGAGCTATACTCTCCGGCCCTCATGTGCTGGAAATTTAATCCCCAAATTCTTATGTTAATAATATTTGAGGGGCCAGGGATTTAGCTGAGTGGTTTTGCCGCCTGCTGCGCAAGCGCAAGGACCCAAGTTCAGTGCCCGGTACCAAAAAAAAAAATTAATAATAATAATAATAATAATATTTGAAGGTGGAGCCTTTCTGAGGTAATTAGAATTTGTTGAGGTCATGAGAGTTGAGCCTCCACAATGTTATTAATGGCTTTCTAAGAGGTAAGAGACCCAAACTAGGAGCCTTGCTCTATCTCAACATGTGATATCCTCGGCCATGTTATCATGTAGCCAGAAGGCCCTCAATAGGTGCCATGCTCTTAGATTTCCCAGCTTCCAGAACCATGAGCCAAAGAAACATCTATTCTTCATAAATTATTTGGTCTCATATTTTGCTATAGCAATAGAAAACAGACCAAGATGGTATTGAAATCAAACATTCAGTTTGCAGGACTTAAACTCAAACATCCCAATCTATTTTACTTTCTTTTCTTCTTCCCATCTTATGGGCCAGATGCACTGGGTAAATCAGAGCAAGATGGGGAAGGTTGATCTTTTTTTTTTGGACCTGGGATCAAACTCGGGGCCTTGTGCTTGCAAGGCAGGCAGCGGAACCACTGAGCTAAATCCCCCCAGCCCATGATCTTTTGATGTTTCAAGCTTAATTAAATTAAATCTGTCCCTTTCCTTTCAACAGAGCCTCTTTCTCCCATTCATTTACTTACTTGGTCAAACACCCATTAGACCTTTGTTAGGTGGTCAGCCTGAGCACGACATTTAAGAAATGAAGTAGATAAATTCCTGACTGAAGGGAGTTCACAGATCATCTTAGTGCAAAGTGCTAAGTATAATAATTGAGATGACATATAAAATATAATAAGACCTCATACAATGAAGTTCTAACTGCAGCCTGCTATCCATGAAGGCTCCCTAGGAGAGAAAGAGTATTGAAGGCAGAAAGTACAATGATCAAAGGCACAGAGCAGAGGATATGACACTGGCATAGCTGACGTGGCTGAAATAAAGGCTGCACAGGAGAGGAGCAGGCAAAGAGGCTGGAAGAGGAGGGTGCCAGCGGTTGAAAAGAATCTGACTACCTTGCGTAAGAACTTGACTTTGATCTTGGGCAACAGGAAGTCACTTTTAGAAAGATTGCTCAGGCAGCCCCGGAGAGGAACCTTTGAAAGGATTGGATTAGAGAAGCCAAAGTCTTGCAGAAGGTCAAGTGAGAAATGTAAAACCAAAAAGCCAATTTCCCAAAGAGCCTGCACACACCTACCAGGCCTGTAAGGCATATCCTTGGCAGCACTTTTCCTCCAACAACACTTTTGTGAAAAGCATTCCTAGGTCTGAACTTTCTGCTTCCTTGGGGCTCCCACAATGGCTGCCTGGCCTCACTTTAGCATATGTATTTGTCTGCCTAGTCTTACTGAGTAGTTTAGGTTTGTGGCTCTCACTCTGCTGTGAACCTCTGCTTTTGATTTTTCTTTGACTCTCCAGCATCCTGACACAAGACAGGCTCCATAAGCTTCAATGAGCAAATGAATGAATGAATGAATGAATGAATGAACAAATGAAATGAATGTTTAGGTCATTTAGAGGCCTCCTGAGCTACTCAACTTTACATCATTGTGACAAAATACCTGAGATAATCAACTTAATAACAGAAAAGGTTTATTTTGGCTGATGATTTCAATGTTTCATTCCACAGCCACTTGGCCCTACTGCTTTGGGTCTGTGGCTACACAGTACATCATCAAAGAAGGTAGTCATGGTAGTCAGGAAGCAAAAACAGAGAAAGAAAAGAAGAGGTCAGGGGTCCCAATATAGCCTGCAAAGGCAAACTCTCAACAACCTAACTTCCTTCCACTAGGCCATACCTACTGAAGGTTCAACCACCTCCCAATAGAGCATGTGCTGGGAACCATGCCTTCAACACATGGGCCTTTGAAGACATTTAAGTTCCAAATTATAATACTTCCACACCTCCCCAACTGGAGCGGTCCCAGAGAGAGGATATCAGCCTGCCCTAGGTCACACAAAGTTTGTAGTAAAACTAAGACAAAGTTGAGCCTGTTGTCTTCAACACCACGGCTCTTTCCTCAATTCCAGTGTTTTTCACACTGTCACTAACTATTAATGTGCTAATGTGAGCACAGGAGCTTTTGACTGTATGGGCTGGCCCCTGGCTGCCACACAATGATTACAGTGCACCTAATGCCGATTAAGCAAGCTTGGGGTGGGAGGACAACTTTGCTTAGGAGGAGACTTTTACAGTGAGGGCTGGAGGATGCAGAGGGGCAAGTTGGACAAAGGCCAGTGTAAGCAAGAGAAGCAGTGTGGGCTGAAGGAATAGGAGTGGTGGCCTGTTTCCGTGTGCAGCACTGAGGGAAGTAAAAGACACGGCCAGGTGGGAGTGGGTAGGAGAGCAGTTGTGCTGAGAAGGGAGGAGGAAAACATTTTGAAAGAAATTAATATTTCAGGGCCGGGGATTTAGCTCAGTGGTTCCGCCGCCTGCTGTGCAAGCGC